TCTCTCTCTCTGTCTTTTGGTTAGTTTGGATAAGGGCTTGTCTATCTTGTTGATTTTCTCAAAGAACCAACTTTTTGTTTCATTAATTTTTGTATTGTTTTCTTTGTTTCTATTTTATTGATTTCACCACTCACTTTGATAATTTCCTGGTGTCTGTTCTTCCTGGGAGACTTTGCTTCCTCTTGTTCTGGAGCTTTCAGGTGTGCTGTTTAGTCACTAGTGTGAGATTTCACCAACTTCTTATGTGGGCATTTAGTACTATGAATTTCCCTCTTAGCACTGCTTTCATTGTGTCCCATAAGTTTGGGTATGTGGTGTCTTCATTTTCATTGATCTCTAGGAAATCTTTAATTTGTTTCTTTATTTCTTCCTTAACCCATTGGTGATTCAGTTGAGCATTATTCAGTTTCCATGAGATTGTAGGTTTTCTGTAGCTTTTAACATTTATTTGTTAAGCAACAAATGCCTTACCCATTTTTTTTGCTAGTGCGATCTCTTGAGATGAGAGCGACATAGTTTTTCCAGAGTCATTAGAGATATTGCATAACGACTATAAATTACTTTTTCTCTGTATGAGAATAATTCTGTTAGCCCTACCACAGATCTCATACCTTCATTATATTCACTCTCTGGTTACCTTCTCGTCTCAGTGCCCCCTATTACTTGTCTACTTTTTTTCCCCAAATAGCTTGCTTCCAGTATATTTATGTTGTTTGTGGAGGTAAAATGTTCCACACATGAGAAAAAAATGTGTGATATTTGTATACCTTACTTCACTTAGAGGAGCATTTATATAGTCCACAAAAATATAAATTAATTAAAAATACTCAGTTCTTGCATGGGGAATGACTCATGAGCTCCTCGTGCACAAAGACTATTGGCAATTAGTTACAAGTGTAGAAGCATATCATTTTCTTCTGTGATGTAGTAACTGAAAAGCATTAGCTAGCCCATATTCCAGTAATCCACACCCCATCATTCCCATTCAAGCAACCGTAATTAAAATCAGTGTGTCACTCAAGAAAAATATGGTATGTATTGCTTATATGTGGGTATTAACTATTGTTAATGATAAGTAACCTACAATACATAGAAAAACAGAGTAAAGGACAAAAGGGGACAAATAGATTTTCCTAGGAAAGAGAAATAGGATAGGTAAGGATGGATTGGGGTGGGGTGACTGGAATTAGGGTATCAAGCAGAAAGAGTGTGCTGGCTAGTTTTATGTCAACTTGACAAATGGTAGTCATCAGAGTAGAGGAACCTTAATTGACAAAATGCCTCCATAATATTGGACTGTATGAAGATTTGTAGGACATTTCCTTAGTGATAGATTTTGGAGGACCCAGCCCATTATGAGTGGTGTCATTCCTGCAAAGGTTATCCTGAGTTCTCTAAGAAGGCAGGATGAGCAGGCCATTACATGCAAGCCAATAAGCAGCATTTCTCCATGGCCTCTGCATCATTTCCTGCCTCCAGTTGCCTGCTGTGTTTGAGTTTCTGTCCTGACTTCCTTTGATGATGAATGCTGATGATGAAGGATAAGCTAAATAAATCCTTTCCTCCCAAAGTTGCATTGGTCATGGTCTTTCATCACAGCAAAAATAAGCCCAAGAGGAGGACAATGGAGGGAATGTAAGGAGAAACAGCTAAAATTTCGGGCCATTTGAGGAGTAATATGAAAACCTAATATAGTAGAAGCTTTAAAAACCATATACATATATTAAGGCAATCTAAATGAAATCACCAAAGTACGACAAGGCTCCAACTGGACATCTATTTTAAACCAAATGAAGATTTCAGTGATGGAATTGGGTTATACCTGATTGAGTTATTCCCCAAAGGGAACCCTCCAAAACCCAGGCTGTTGCCAACGATACAGGTTGCTCTCCAAAAACTTACAACAAGGCTCTATTGATGAATATAGCACCTTCACAACTGATTAAGCACAGAGAAATCAAGCTAGTACCTCCATAGAGCCTTCACCCATACAAACTAGTGTTCTTAGTTACAGAAGGTATTCTGCAACCTACCAAAGCAGAAACATCAACCATTTCATTTACAATGATGTTGTACCTTCAAGAAATGCTAGTGCAAAGCTGGCACAAACCTTGTGGGAGTAACCAACCAGGATCTGATACAATTTAAGGCCCACTCCATGAGATGGAACCCATACCAGATATAGTTTGGATGGCCAAGTACCTGAGACTAGATATCTAGGAGAAAACCCTATACTACTTTTCTGTTAAAGGAATGTAGGGATAAAATGACTCCTAATAATGTTATCTTATACTCATATATCAGTGACTTTCTCAGCCATCATTAGAGAAGCTTCCTCCTACAGCAGATGGGAACAAATACAGTGATGAGACAATATGGGAGAGAGAGAGAGAGAGAGAGAGAGAGAGAGAGAGAGAGAGAGAGAGAGAGACTGACTTTCGAATACTCATCAAATCCCTCCCCTCAGACCTCAGGAAACCCTTCAAAAGTGGAGGCAGAAGAGCATAAGAGCCAGAGGGTATGAGGAAAGCAAAGAAACAAGGCTTTCTTGTAGTCAATCTTGTGTTGTAGCAGGAATCTTAAAAGTTCTTATTAATAAAGTCAAACCTGGTGCTAGTTATTGGAGTGAATGCTGGAAGATCAGAGAAGCAGAACAAGCCACAACTTCCTCACCAATTCCTCAGCTGATCCTTTTTCCTCAGCCTAAAAACTTAACCAGGCTCATCCTCATCCTTAAATACCTTTCTGCTTCCTGCCATCACTTCCTGGGATTAAAGACTCTTGTTACCACGCCTGGCTGTTTCCAGTGTGACTTTGAACTCACAGAAATCCAGACAGATCTCTGCCTCTGGAATGCTAGGATTAACGGCGTGTGTGCCACTATTTTCTGGCCTCTATGTCTATCTAGTGGCTGTTCTGTTCTCTGACCCTAGATAAGTTTATTAGGGTGCACAATATTTGGGGGAACACAATGTCACCACACTTTCTAAACACAATAACCAATGCACATATGATCTCAGAGACTGGGGCAGCATGCCAGGGCCTGCATGGTTCTATATCAGATGGGGTTGTATAGTTGAAAGGAGAAGTGGACACATAACAAATCTCTAACCCAGAAGTTGTCTCCTTTGGATAACCACTTGGAAATGAAATTTAATTTTCTCCAATGGAATTTGATTAGGGAATCTACTCTTAAGGATAGGCTGCCTGCTCAGTAGTAGATGGCCAACTAAAAACAAACACAAGATATGGCATCCTTTGAGGTTCTTTGTCTCATAATTTCAGGATGTTGTTTTTGTTTTTTCATGAGAAGGCTTTAGGGAAGTGTTAAGAACATGAGAAATCTGACTTAAAAAGTTAATGACTTGAAGGGCTTATCATTTGGTGTCATAATTGGGAGAAAATGAAAATTAGGAAATAGGGTGTGATTAGAGGAACTAGTTTACAGATAGTGTCACTTAGAATTATATATGTTGTTCCCAGACCCTTCTTTTTTTAATAAATATTTTTATTTTATAATTAACTTAATTTTACATATCAGCCACGGATTCCCCTATCCTGCCTCCTCCCACCCTCCAGCCTCTCCCCCCCAACCCACCCCACATTCCCACCTCCTCCAAGTCAAGTTCTCTGCTGGAGAGTCAGATTGGTAGATTCAGTTGAGGCAGGTCCAGTCCCCTCCTTCCTGCGCCAAGACTGAAAAAAGTGTCTCAGCATAGAGACCAAGCCCTCTGGATAAGTGAGACAGTTGATGAATTAAACTGTTTAGAAGGTCCCCAGGAAGTGGTACTGGGACCTGTCCTTGATGCATGAGCTGGCTTTTTGGAACCTAGACCCTCTTGTCTGTCTCACCTTGGGATGAACAGTTTTTCTGCAGTATATCCTTCTGTCAAAATGCATTACCTCACCAAGCTTAGAAGCAATGGTGGCAATAGACATTCACAGAAACCACTGAAACTGAGAGAGAAAAAATTCTACCCAGGGCTGGAGAGATGCTTGCTGTGTAAGTATAAAGAACTATGTTTGGATCTCCAGGATCCAAATAAAATGACAGGTGTAGTGATAGGCACCAAACATGTTACTTATAACAATTCCTAATCCACTCAATTTTAGTGAGATAAATGTGGATTTCAAAATACAGTGTCAAAACTACACATGGCAAAGATCCCCCTGTGAAAATGAGGGAAGCTTTACTCTCCGGCTGGTAATGACAATATTAGGGGAACATTGGGACAGAAGGATCTGGAATTCAGGCCAGCATGGACTACTGAATAAAGTTGAAGACAGCATTAATTACATAGAAACTCTTGGTCAAAAAATGTTCCGCCATTGCTGGTTGGTTATACTGTTTGGCATTGGATTCTAAAGCCTGCACAGCTTTTTCTTGCTTTGTTTTCCAAACCTAATTCAATAAAAATAATTGTTTAGGCAAATCTAAACTGCAACTAGTTTTACACTCTTTCCAGAACCTTAACTCTCCTACTCTCCTGCAACTTCCAGCAACCCCCTCTCACTCTCACCCCATACCTTGCCCACATCCCATTCACCTGTTCTTCTCACTCTCATTCCCCAACCACACATCCATCTGTTCTTTTCTCACTTCCCAAGTCCCCCACACCCAATCAGTCTACCTTTCTCACCTCTTCCACACCTAATCCATCTATCCTCATTGTCACCCCACCTTCCCCACACCCCATCCATCTTCCCTTCCCCTTGCTCTCACCACCCCTATCTCCCAGCCATCTGCCCTTCTCTTGCCTCCCACCTCCCCATACCCAATCCATTTAACCTTTTCCTCACTTTTACTCCCCACCTCCTCTGTATCCCATCCATTTTCCCTTCTCTCCCACCCCTGCCCCTCACTCCTAGTTATCCTAGTTTGAAAATCGTACAGTATTTATCTAGAAAAGATTGGAGAAAGATTGCTTTACTCAAAGTAATAAAACATGACTGATAGGTTTATTATTATGACCACAGAATACAAGTTGAAATTATATGGCATATCTTTTCGTCCACTCCCGAGCTAGTTTATTATACTCCTTAAGATCCTTGCGGTAGACCCTCGCAATTTCTGGAACTAGAGGATCATCTGGGTTTGGATCACACAATAGAGAACAGATAGAAAGAAGCACTTTGGAAATTGTAAGTGCCGGTGACCACTGAGAATCCAATATATCTAAACAGATGCTTCCATTTTTGCTAATATTTGGATGGTAGATTTTAGTAATAAATGAAATTTTGGGGGGCTTGAAGGGATAATTGGTTGGAAAACGAATGGTCAAGAAAAAGACCCCTCCCTGATAGGGGCTGTCATCAGGCCCCATTATGGTCGCTTGCCAATGAAACATGTTTTCGGCCACAGGACCTGCAGAACACTGGGCCGGAGGATCTTGAGACATGGCAAGGAATTCCTTGTGGATCCGTTTAAGGGCCATTGACTCCAAACTAGGACGGAACATCTCCTTCAATGGGTGTGCCAACTGGTTGATGGCTCTATTGAACCTAGAGTATAAAGAGAGATAAGAGGATATATGATTAGGCTGAGGGTTAGGTCAAGTTATTAAGGCATTATTCAGAGATGGATGAGGCAGACAGAGCCAAGGGCTCCTCAACTATACCTGAAGATCTTCAAAAACTCATGTAGCTTTGGGTCAGGATCTGGAGAATTCTCTGTAGTTGCTCGAGGCTGAGATGCGGGGAGGCCGAACAACTGCTAGGAGGCCAACAACGACAACTGCCAGAAGACACAGCTCTCCGGAAGGGCCAATAACTCCAGCTGCTGGCGCTATTGTGGGTAAGCACCTTGAATGTCTGGGTTGCTTCTAAGGAATATTCTGTGAGGTCATAGAGAACGTAATGACAAGTCTAAGGAATATTCTGTTGAGGTCATAGAGAACGTAATGACAAGTGATGGGTACATGGGGTCAATGTGGCATCAACATGGGGGTCAGCTTCGCACCAACGTAGGGTAATGTGGGTGGAACATGGAGTCAACATGGGGTCAATATGAGGTCAGCATGCAAATTAGAACAATCTGCTAGAGGAGCATGAGAGCAAGGGGAAAATGACTGAATCTGGCAGTGCCTCAGGGCCTCACTTAGCAATTGCTCTTTGAGCTAATAAGTAGAGTCACAGTGAACCTCTTCTACCCATTCACAATAAATCAGTCATCTCCCCTCTATTCATTATAATGACTTTGCTGTAATTTTTATATTTTTAAGTTGAACACACTACAGCCATCAATTTTATATATTTCCTAAGGATGATATTCTCTAGTGTAAACAACTTTAGAAAATTTAATACCAAGGTAACCCTTTTAAGAGTTTTATTAGTTATATTTTTATAAAATTTAATGTGAAAGTCTTTAAAAATTCAACTATGAAGTTAAAAACATAAGTTTTGATTAAATTCTGACAGCAAATGGGTAAAAAAAAATAACAATCTATTGTTATTGCTAGCATTGAGAAGCAATCAACCTAATGCCAATATAGTAGTTATACCTAATGTAATAATATAATACTGTATCTGTAGGACAATTTCCTTCAATGGTTAATATTGCTTTTAATTTTTAAAAAGTCCTCTTGTAAAGAATCTACTCTAGGGCATATTTGTCTATTTATTACTCTTGAGTCTGGCATATTCCCATAACTGTCTGAATGTTTTCCACTGGTACTTATGAAGAGTGCATTTCAGACCCTTTATTTCTCAGTCTTAAGCACATTGACATTGATAATGAACTCAGACAATTTGGAAATGAGGAAGAGGAAAATGGGACAAGAAAGTAGATTCATTTTTGTATTTGGAAAAGTTTTATGAAGTTCAAACACTTGATGCCTTACAATAAGGGTATACTTACTCTCCATAAATAAGCTACATGAACTTACTTTCATTTACAGAACCCTTTTTGTTTGGAAGCAGGGATGTACAGAGAAGCTGCCAAGTCTTTGTAAACAAACAATTATTTATTTACTAAAAAGAGGAGTGAAGAAACGGGAAGGTAGGGTACACACTGTAGTTTTCTTTCTTTTTACTCTTTTTTTTAATGCTTCCCTGACTTCCTGGCCTGAAATTACCATGTATGTAGACCAGGCTGGCCTAGATGCCATAGAGATAAATCTGCCACTGCCTCTAATAAAATAATTAATTCTTATTTCTAATTAAGATATTCTATGTGTCTGTTTATATGTGTGTTAACCCCTCAAATCATTGTTGAGTAAAAATATTAATATGAAATGTTATACAGAATTGCGCTTTCTTATGTGCTTTTTCTGTCCCCTTTTTTCTTTCTCTTCCTCCTCTTCTATCTTGTGTTAGGTCTGTTGTGCAAAAGTACCACAAAATGAATGACTAAAAAAAATTTAGTTTCTCACAGCTGTTGAGGTTGAATTTTGAAATCAAATTGTTGGCAGGCATATAGTGCTTCTGAAGACAATGAATGAATCTATCATCACCTCTCCCTAGGTTTTAATGTTTCTGATGTCGTTGTTTTGTTTCGTTTTGTTTCTCTACTTTCAAGTAACCAAACCCAGGGTCGGTATTTTTCAGGCAAAGGCTCTACCATTGAGCCCAACTTCACATTTTCCATAGCTTCTGCTGTTCTCTGCATCCCTGATTGTGTTCTTAAAGTCACTGTTCCTTTTTGTTGAAGAATGCACATGTTGTAACTGCTTTCAATTAGAAAGTTTTGCTGCCTTCCAAATCCCTGAAGTCTACAGGTCTTCCTTTATTTTTTCCTGTTTCTGTACTCTATAGTTCAATATTGCAGAGCTTCTTTCTGATATTAAAACAATCTTTAAAACTTTGATAAATTTTCATTGAGAAAGAAAAAAATCCACACTTCTATACAACAAGATTATCTATGGAAATTCACTGAATTACCTTTATCTCTGTTTCTTGCTACGAGTGATGTTCATAACTTCATCCCTATGTCACAACCTTAATCTTTTAATCTTTTACTGAAAGTTAATGTGTCTATGTGCAGATGCTCCTAAAGTTTAGAATAAGATTATTTCCCCATAAAACATAGTAAGCTAAAAAAATCAGTGTTTAAAAATAGATTGGATATACTTACCTACCAATCAAATTATTATAGCTTGGCAAGAGAGTGCACTGTAGGATATTGATTTTTACCTTATGTTCATATGGCTAACTGAAAATTTACTGGTGTCAACTGCTTACCATCTTGATAATGTTATGTCATACATTGCTAGATTATAAATGGCTAAGTAAAAAATTAATGAATGATTTCTGAGTGCACATTCCTTCCACTCCATCATATATTTGAAAAATTGTAAGTTGAACTATATCATCTAGTATTGTCTATATTGAACCCTGTTTGTATAGTATGTAGCTTGTTTAGATAGCTAATATTTATTAATCATCAATTTCCTTGGGTTTTCCTTGATGTTATTGTGAACAAAAATGTATGGAAAGAAAGTGTACCTTACCATGAAGCTACTACAAAGCAGATTAACTGATTAGAAATTTCTTTATTAAGAAATATTTTATTCATTTTACATACCAATCTTAGATCCCCCTCTTCCCTCTTTCTGCCTCTCCAGTGTCCCACCCAGCCTACCCCCTATTCCCTCCTACAAGGAGGTTAGACCTCCCTCAGGGAGTCAGCAGAGCCTGATACATTCAATAGAGGTAGGTCCAAGCTCCTCCCCCTGGCTCAGGGCTGTGTTGTACAAGGTGTTCTCTACCATAGGTAGTGGGCCCCAAAAAGCCATCTCATGTACCAGGGATGAATCCTGATCCTATTGCTAGGGGGCCCCTTAAGCAGACTTACAATAGTTGTGGAAAGGTTAGAACTTTTCCAGTCCAGAAAGAATCTAACTATAATTTATCTTAGGCAATCTTTAGTTCTCTTAATAGTCATTCCTTGACCACCTCTGTATGTGACCCAATACCCCTGTAGTTATAAAGTGAAAGCTTTTGGAATGTATTCACTTAACAGACAACCATATTTCACCCACCAAAAGGCTAAGGATGTCATCAAACAACATCTGAGGCTTATCTTATTGCTCTGCTGTAAACCATCTACTGAATATTTACACAAATTCATTTGAAGTTGATTTATGGTTTTCGTTGTTCTGATACTACAAAACTTCATGAAACTGTTATTACACTGAAAAATGGATTTGGGGAAATTTGAAATTGTTTTCATACATCATGGTTGCTCATATTTTATTCTAGAATAAAATATCTTTAATACATTGGGAGATAAAACCTATTTTGTTGTTGTTGTTCATTGGAATTATCTAACAGCTCTTTGCATAATTACTTTATCTTTCAAATTTTGTTAGCATTATTGAGGAAAAATAAGACTTCACATTCTATACATTGTTTGGAAATAAGGCTAAACCAATTAGTTAATCACAAGCGTTGTTTTCTTTCTAATAACATAAGGCAAAGTAATTGTTTTGCCAATTTGCTTAAAGAAAAGGGATCACATTTCCACCAACTTTCTACATTTACATCTCAGGCTTTTTAGAAAGAATTGTTAGCACTACATTACTACCAATATTCAATCCGTGAATTCCTTGCTATTTATTTTCTTCTGAGCCACCATCAATGTGACATTAAACATGTATACTTGCGGCAATCATTAGATGAATGAAATATATGTTCCTTATTCTTACATGTCCCTCAATATTTTTCCAATTTCTGCACACTAACCAATTCTAAAGTAACTCTCACAATTTAAGATAGATAAATGGTAAACAGAGATAGATTGATTGTGCTAACAGTTAAATATAATCAGGTTAGAGGTAGATATTTTTCCTCATTTTGTGCCTATTTTTTTTAGGATTTTCTTTTCAGTCCACTTTCATGGGAGAAAGTTAACAAAAAAAGAGTGAAAATCAAACAGCAATGAGAAAACTGAGCCAAAGTGCCTAACTGCCCATTCATTCAATGTTTATACAAAGGAAATTAAAATAACTTACACTTTTCTTTTTGATTCTTGAATTAAACTTTTTAAATAATGTATGTTTTCCCCCATTAAAATGATATTCTCTGCAGGCAAAATTCTACATTAACTCTAGTAGCAATGCAGTTAGGCATATTTAGCTGAAGGCAGAATTTATCGATGTGAAATATATTCATTGAATATAACACATTTCTATAACATATGTTCTAAAATTTGCAAGATAGTTATGCCCATGTTAATTTGATTGACCATGAACTTTAAAAATAGTCATAAGCACATTGCTTGCAATTATAATGTTTCCTTTTTATAGTTCAATCATTCATCAAAATGTGTTGATAATATGGAGTGTATCTCACCATAGAGTATATCACCAAAGTCTAAACAATATTAGTTCAGCACTAAAGAAAAGAGTTCTCAGAAAACACTATTTTCTAATTTTTACACTATTTAAAGCTGTTGTTTTTTCTTCCTCAAGTTATTTCCTTTTTATATCCGTTAGGTATGGTACTCTGGGGATTTTGTGTAATAAGAATTGTCAATTATCTAGTCTGAGAAGATTTTCATGTAAAATTGGTATTACAAACCAACATAATTATAATTTTAAAAATATTTGGAGAGATACCTAAACAGTTAAGAGTATTTGGTGCTCTTCCAGAAGACCCAAGATCAATTCCTATCACCCACATGATGGCTTGCAACCCTCTGTGACTCTAGTTCCAGGGCATCTGATATCCTTTTCTGACCTCAATAGACAGTAACAGAGCTGTCAGAAAAGGATGTTGGATTCTCTGGGACTGGAGTTAAGAATGGTTATGAATTACATTGTGTTTGCTTGGTACCAATCCTGGGTCCTCTGCAAAAGTAGCAGTACTTTTAACCCCA